AGTCAGAGCCTGAATCAATGAATCAATCTACCCTAGACCTTTGCTCGATCCGCTACGGTCGTTATGCCTATAATCCATATAAGTTGTGAAAGTTACTTCTACTTGTAAATCATCAAAACAATTATTAAACTGGGTAGAAAAATTTTTGGAGCTTTGCTTGATACGCCCTTTTTTTGGATTTTCACATTGTGGCCTTAAAATATATTCAAAAACATCCCAAAAGATTCGAAAGGGCTAACTAGCGCGCATTTATTGAGAAATTTTTCTGTCACAACCCCCTCCTCCCTCTCCCCTAGGGAAAAATTTCCACCTCCACAGTTACGATCTGAAGAATAGTGATACACTAAACATTTCTCATCAAATATTCAGTCTGTTGTTCAGTATAAAAAATTATAAAGATTTTATTCGATTAGGTCAATATTTTCGAAGGAATGAGCATGAGCAATTTTTTTCACACTAGAGAGAAACACAACAAATAGATTTTCTTCGAAGGCTGAGTTCAATAGGTTTTGTACATTGCGAAATACATATCTACACATTATTGATCCTTCTTTATATCTTGCAATTCTGGTGCTGGGGTCATAACGTTCTCCTTTTCCTCTGCAGATTCGCCAATGTTCTCAGTGGCTTTCTTCAGACTGACTTGCACATCCGTGCCGAATTTATTCACACGACGTCCAAGTTCTGCGAAAAATTGTTGGACTTGACGAAGAGTGGCCTGAAACGACATCTTTGACATGGTGACCGAGACATTTTCGGTACAATACGAGAGTGATTATACTAGAAAAATAGCATTAAGTGTAAAATAAGAACATAAAACCCGCATCAACGTCAAAATCTTGGAACTTCTGTTTTAAGATCTCCCAGAGTTCCATTACATATTCGTGGAGCTTTTGGTAGTGTCGAGCAGCTTGGCAGCTGATGTCACAATCCTGCAAGAAAAACAATTTCTTCAAACATTAGGTGACTGTGGTGAATGCTAATGTTTACACAATCCAGTTCGAGATC